TGACGGGAGGATTTAGACAACGCCCTACATTTTTGTCTGTGGGTCAAGAGGCGCCACTGCCGAAACTAGATTAACATGAACGGCCACACCAGCTAAACTTATTAGGATCGCCCACACCGTAATGCTGACTTTGGAACATTGCCAGCATTCTATAAGGCGATATGATTTCTTCAGGAAATCCCTATTTTCATTGAAAAAAGGCAGATGCGAGGATCAAAGACGATAGCGGTGCCTCTCGTAAGAAGGATATTGTTTAAGCAGTGGCTGGCTGAAGTTGTACAAGATAGTGAAAGGCGGCTCTGTCATAGGCATAAATTCGACGCGGACGATGACCTATTGCAGCGTAGAAGCGTAATAGCGTAATAGTGGAACTCCCTAACCCATGTCCGCTGATTTCCCTTCATGATTCCTAAGCTAGACGCGGGATTGACAAGAGGACGTGAAGTAACAGCTAGCGATGCCCAGCGGTTCTCGAGCCTTCTTGAATATCTGGGCTATGGTGATGACACCGTCGGTTGGTGGGTTACTGTTCCTTGCTATGACGCCATTCCGTACGCACCGCGCACGCTCACTGGCGAGTATTCCTGCTTTCATCTCAACAAATCTGCTCAGGTATCTGTTTGTGCACGACAATTAGTGAATGAATGGGTAGAGTGAGTGAATGTGTACGTGGATAGAGAAGGAATACAATGGCTTGATGTTTTCGTGCACTTCTCCCTAATCTCTAAAGTCTCTAAAAATCTCCAAAATCTCAGATTTCTGGCGACTACTTACCGTGGAGCTTTTGAGCCAGATCCATCGGAAGTGGTGCGGGCGGTGTCGGTGCTGGAATGAGTTCCTTTTCAACACTTTTCGCTCTATCTAAAGTAGTATCAGATTGCAATAAGAATGAACATTATGAACTTTGCATTGAAGTGAAGATAAGGAACTGGTGGGTTCACCACGCTTCCAGGTCAATAGCTAATGAGAAGTCGTTTCCAGCCCCTGCGTTGAACGAGTGTAGATGAGATCTAGCCATCTGGCACTCTGTATGGCGGCGGCTTTCATCTCCTATATTAGCTAGAACTTATTTTTGTCTGGCTTCCTCCAGCCGGGTCGTATTGCCGCTTGCGTTCCTTAGATGGGCAGATATGTCACGGGTTCTCCTATCATCTCTCCAAGCTCATCGGGGGTTTAATATTAGGTTGAAAGCTGTAGGTGGGCTGTAGTCTGAAGGTCAGTCAAGTCTGTGGACGAAGATTCTCATAAAATTCTAATGGTATTTGTGAGATAGGCTGTCGTTTCAGAAAAGTATTGAGATTTCTGTAAAGGCTTCCTGCGCACCATCCAGACAAAAAGCATGAATGACCGTGCTCACCTGCTTGATCCTTGAATTGATCCAATGGGAGCCCTGAGCCTTCGTCATCATTCTGGAATAGACCATATTATAAAAATATAGTCACCCACATTCGTTAGGGCTAAGGTACAACACAATAGCAGGGAAGCCACAAATCATTCGCATATCTCAATGTCTAGACGAGAGTACGTCCAGTCACTTACCTTGTTCTGATGACGTGCCTTTAGGATTTTCCGTTTCCGCCACTGAGACAGAATACGTCAAAACAATCACAATCAGGAGAAATTACTAAGCTATTTGGAAAGTCATGGTATCAGAATGGAGCTGAAAGGGGCGTGGCACATGAAAAATTTTTCAAACCTTGAAACATACTCACCCACATATGGGAAATGTAGGGAAAAACACCTAGAAAAAAAGAGCCCAGGAGGTACAGCGTTACGCTAAAGTTCGTTACGGGAACAGCAGATGGGTGGAGTGTTAGCCTAA